AGGTGTGCAGTGACCACTGGTGTCAATGAATGTCCCGAATGTCCAGAGTCAGTGCAAGAAACATATGTGTGGATGTGCAAAACGGATCAGCACTGTGTGGTGTACTGATTTAGAGACCATATCGCCTGCGGGAAGAAGCTTCTCCTCGGTCTTTCTGTATTGGTCTTCAGGGAGCAGAATCGCTTTCCTGACCTCAACAGAGAGAACAGTCCATTGCTGGGGTGGCTGAGGTCCTTCACGATATTCCTGGCCCTGGTCCAGCACCGCTTACTGTAGATTGAGTGCAGGTCAGGGAGCTCGGTGCGGATGATGCGCTCAGATGATCGCACCACCCTCTGTAGAGCTCGTCTGTCCTGCTGTTTCCGAACCAGGTCGTGATGTTTGCCATCAGGATGCTCTCTATGGTGCAGGAGTAGAAATTCCTGAGCACCCTGGATGGCAGACTGAAGTCTCTCAAGCGTCTGAGGTGGAAGAGATGCTGCCAGGCCTTTTTCACCACGGTGTTGATGTGACAGGTCCTGCGTGATGTGGACACTGAGGTATCTGAAGCTGTCCACTCTCTCCACTGGGCTCTTGTTGATGACGCAGGTCTGGTAGTTCCTCTGCTGCTTTGTACTAAAGTCCACTATCAATTCCTTTGTCTTGCTGACGTTTAGAAGGAGATTGTTCCTCTGGCACCAGTTTTCCAGATTTCCAGTCTCCTCCAGTTAGGCCGTCTAATCGTTGTCAGTGATCAGGCCCACCACGACGGTGTCGTCAGCAAACTTGATGATGGTGGTGGAGTTGGTAGAGGCTACGCAGTCGTGCGTGTACAATGAGTGCAGCAGGGGGCTCAGAACACAACCCTGGGGGGCTCCAGTGCTGAGAGTGAGGGGGGCTGAGACATGTCCGCCCATCTTTACTGCCTGTGGTCTGCCAGTTAGGAAGTTGGAGATCCACTGACACAGAGATGAGCTGATCGAGTCCCAGGTGCTCCAGCTTGGTGGTGAGTGTGGAGGGAATTATGGTATTAAATGCTGAACTGTAGTCGATGGAAAGCACTACTGGGAAGCTTAATGTTTGGTTTATTAACAAATAAGGAAAGACTTTCAAAACCCAGAGAGCTGAGTTGCAGGATGAGAGTGAACCTCGGATAAAATAATATTAAGAGAGTGGAATTTACAGTTATTATGCTGTTCGTGGTTACTGTGACGTGTCGCTGACTTTAATCGGTATTCCAGCCTAATCTGTTATCCGTCAACGCTTCCTGAATGTACTACTTTGGTGGAGGATAATCCACTAACATGCTTTAATGCACATGTTCATTTGATGTTTAACTGCTGATAATAAGCAATCTCATTTTAGCCTTTAAAGTTGCATCACAAATGTCTATTATTCTGCAACTCTACTCCGTTGCTAGTATTTGATGCACTGATCTGTCTCCACCACCCGCCATTACACTAAAAAGTGGTCCACACGACTTTGGTTACCTCCACTTACTTAACTGAAACGAAACACTTGAATGAATAATGTGAAATTACTGCGAAAAAAATGGAAATTCGTCTGTTATGTTAATGCGCTGCTAATGTCGATCCTTTCCAGGTGCGTGGCTGGGAGTCATTTAAGGCTGCAACAGGTACGTTGCTCGGATGAGTGATGGACCTTATCTGTGTGTGTCTGAGGCTTATTACAACACAATTATGACAAAGTACACCAGCAAACAGGAAAACCCGACTTGTTAGTCTATTATGTCTGAGGCACATTTTATTGTCTGAATTATTCTGCTTAACTTTTAAAAGAATATTCATACAATGCACAAATAGGCAACGAAACATTTCAGCTCTGAATGTGTTCAAAATAAATGTTAATATTCATTTAATGCTTCTTAATATTGCTCGCTGTTACTACAGCAGAACGAGTCTATACACCGTGAAACTAAGACAAAAGCAGCCTGAAACCGTAAAAAGGAACGCAAGCTAAGGGTAATGCCAGCTGTAAAGTCTCTCCTCCATCTACTCCAGAATTGTTGAGACAGATGTTGCACTTGTCTCCAGCTGTTTTTGGCAAACAAATCCACCATAACATATTTACGTGCGCTGGCAGAATGACAGACTATTTCATTGTGAGCACGTGCTTAGGTGTTAATAGCCCTAGACTTGTGGAATCACTGATACAGTCAACAATTGAAATGGTTTCATAGAACATATGTTGTCATATACTTATTTCAAGTCATATTCAGGTTTCTCGAAGGCATCCATCAAGTTATATGACCAGGGGCATCAGAAGCATTTTAAATGTGGGGGGGACACGCGGGCATAAAACTAATATTTTATGTTAAATGTGGGGGTGGGGGTGTCCAAATGAATAATTATGAAATGTGAGGGGGACACATCCCCCTCAGATTTAATGGCGGTGACGCCCATGATATGACTCTCAGAACTCTCACGCTTCAGCCTTTCGTGAGTATACCTGCCTGGAGTTTCCGGGTCTCCTACAGTAATTTGAACTTCTTTCCCTCTTGAACTCCTTCTTGCTGCTTTAGCTCCAGAATCTTTGGTGTTCAGGATATTTCTGGGGAAGATTTTCTTATTATGTGTCCCTCAGAATTGTTTCTGATTTGTCAGTTTTAGAATGGGGATCCTTCATAACCATTTATATTACCTTGGTTTCTGCAGCATAATTTTTTTCTCTGTATTTTTTATTCTGTTACCTGTTGTTGCAAAGAATCGACTTACAAAGTATGAACCGTTGTTAAATGATACAGGTGTTTCCCAAAATCATAGTATGACCGAACCTTCGCAAACACTGTCGCTAAATAGCGTAGTTTGAACTGTAGCTTTTGTGATGTGTTTAGAAGCTTAGTTCCCGGTGACTTTCTGGGATGGATGGCCTTGCAATCAGTATCAGGGTGCCTTTGGCCATGCCGGTGACCCACGGAGTGCTGGCAATGGCGTGGAAGCCTTGGTTGGCACTGGCAGTCTCCTCTGGTGTGGCTGGAGAGGTCATCTGGTCACCTGGGTGACAGCTGTGCTGATGGACGCCTTGCCGAGACCAAGGCCACCTTCCAACTCCTCATAAAAGCTGCGCGAGACGTAAAAATGCAGTGATGCAGTGCAGCCAAAAGCTCCAGTCGGTGTTTAGGCAACGTTACGCCTAGTGGCCCCCACCAGATGTGGGTGAACAAAATCAATTAACTTTTTTATTTTGGCCAAAGTGAGGTGGTACCTTTGGATAATTGCTTCATCCTAAAGGACCTCAAGGGGGTTGAAAGTCGTGCGTGTAAATGCATTCATGTATACCACCGTACTGTGGCGCGTGCGCCATCGATTCAGTTTGATTATACATATTCAATTTCTCCCTGATAACGAGCTAAGAATTACGGTGTCATGCATGTCTGGGTGCTTGCCGTGGACATCACATGTACCCCGAATAAAGAGAAATGGAAAAATAAATGTTCTTCAGTTTCGGCATCTGCCTTCTGAACCCCAGTCACTTGCTTAATGCGTTCTCCTGCGTGGATGCGGTGTACTATCTTGCTTTTCTGTTTCTCGACTGAACAAGCAGAGTTTCTCCAAAATAAATACAAATATTTACCCAATTTGCTGTACTCCGAAAATCACAGAGTGGTATTCTGTTTCTGAAGCCAAGAATTGTGGGGAAAAAAGAAAATTGTGTCCCGCAGCTTACTGCATTTTTAATGTCGTTTGTTCAGTGGTTTCAGTTTCGGAGACTGGTTTGTCATTTACGAAGGTGAAATCTGCTTCCCGAATACAAGAATGTCCAATTGTGTTTTTTACAATAGCACCTGTGTAAAGATTTGTTCGTCGTGTTTAGCATGAATTGTTTGCAGATTTGCTTACACTTCTAGAATCGTGAAGATTTACAAGTGCACAACAATTCCATAGTTTTCGACATCATATACACATAAAATACATCTAATCGGAACTTTGAAATTGTTCATTTTAAATTAAGCCTTCCGAAGGTTAATACACGATTCACAAATGCATGACACCGCCGCCATAACAAACTTAATTATTCACGAAATTGTGATAGTGCGACTTCATTTTCAGTGTTCTGAATTAATAGTTCCTCCCAGAAATTTTAAAACCTGAAAGCAAACGGACATCCTCGTCTCAGACAACGCGCACCTTACATGAAGAAACCATAACGGTCCATTTGGTAGCATTAGCTCTTAGCGCTGCCAAAAGCTCACCTCCTCAGGAGCAAAACAGCAAAAGCCGCCTCGTATGCAGTTAGCGGCAAAGACAGACAGTTTACGCTGTAATGTTAATTATCAATGTCCATGAAGCTGAAATCTTTCCCCAGGATTAGAATGATCGGTGTTACAGCGCCACTTAGTGGACTGGTTGTGTAATACTGCGTGTACATATTCTTAAATACTTAACCCAGCAGAAAGAAATCCCTGTTAATCTAGCCCCACCCCCATTCAGCTGTTACCCATTCCCTGACACTTTCCCGGCAATTTGTGTATTCCCCACCCGGGCCCTTTGCAAGTTCAACAAAGTCAGAAGACCAATGGCCTTATCGGGGTAACTTGTCAGATTTAAGGTAGTCTGGGAGAAATGCAAGTGAACAAATATTAAGTCCATTTAAACTGTGGTACCTGAAATCCAATGTCAGTAACCCTGCTTCATAGTACAGGCCCCAGGGACATCAAACTCCAGTCCTGGAGGGCCGGAGCCCTGTGTAGCTTAGTTCTTTCCCTGTTCTACCACAAATGATTCAGCTCAAGAGCTATGTGGTAATTAGCACAAGGAGTTGAATCAGGTGTGTTAAATGAGGGGAAACCCAAAAATGTGTAGGGCTCCGGCCCCCCAGGACTGGAGTTGGACAACCCTGATATAGACCATTTCATACATTAGGAAATCTCAATCTACATGATCCCACAAGGTGAAGCACTTTTAAAAAGGATGCAGGAACACTACTTGCTTGTCAGTACAAGGACCACTGCACTACACCGCAAACAGACAGAACCAAAATCATAGACTGGGGCTCCAAAAATCCTTAAAATATAAGGTTTATTTTAGAATACAATTAAATATTTACATTAATACACTGAAAAAGACAAACGAGCAATATGCCACCGCATTTGTTTCCATTAGGAAACATAAAATTGGTTTTGCAAAAATAGTATACCGTCATCCATTTCTTTTTCATCTAGAAAGAATTGAGAGGTAAAAAGACATTAATATTTATAAAACACTTTCACATTGTTTGCAGGTAAAAAAACCCCAAAAAATACAAAAACAAACATCACTTATCAATAAATATTTTTTTTAAAAAATCTACTTTTAAAACTTGCATCCCCGACCGCTCAAAGACGTCTGATGTTCCGCTTGCTGCGGGAGCCCCCAACGACAGGAGAGGATGGAGAGAGTCCGACCGGGCCTGGCGTCCGGAGCGGGCACAGGGAGGAGCCATGGTAGTCACACAGGCACTGGGTGCAGAAGTCAAAGCCGCAGCTGGCTCTCGTACACGTGGCCCTTAAGGTGGCGGGGTTGCACTTGGCTGGAGAGCCGCATCGCCTGCACTTCTTGAGACACTCGTGCTGCTTTAGGGTACTGACCACCTGTGAGATGTGAAAAACAGCCATCAACAAGGAAAAGGGCGTTTTACTCACAACAAAACCCCAGCGGTATCGAATACACAGCAGTACTGGGGATAAGGTTACTTACCTCTTGATACTCTATGGAACGCGTCTGTCTGGAGCAGTTCTTGTTCTGCTTGGGCGTGGACGCTAAGCCTTGAATGCAAGACAGCGCCACCCTAGAGGCGGCAAGGTCCCGGGTTGAGAATGGCGAGGACTTTCTGGACTCCTGAAACACCACCACAATGTTAGAATACAGCCACACTTTGCGCTCGAAAACAAGGAGCCGTGTTCAGCAGCTTACCCAAAATGGCCGTTCAGCTGCATGGCACCTCTTGCGAGCTTTGATATCCTGCAAAACTATCTTTTGCCAACTTCTATTTACTCGTTTACAGCTGTGAAGGAGGAAGAAGCATAATATTGAAAACGTAGCAGCTGAGCATGTCAGAGAACAGAAAAGCAGGAATTTAACCTCAAGGCACACGAAACTGACTGGACTTAGTTCAATAACTAAAGAAAAGCATAAAAACGTACTTTATCAAATCAGTGTCTCCCAGCAAACGAAGAATCTTCGTCAGGATGTGTTTCATATCCTTCTCCCAAAGAATCTGGAGAATGTCCAAATAGTCCAGGCCCATTTTCCCACCAATGACCATCTGAAGGCCAGAGCCCTTGGCCAGAAATCTGATGGCTGTCAGGTCATACCTCTTTGTCTTTTTGTAACTCTCAGCCAAATGTCTGCAGACTGTATGCTGGAACTGGAGCTGTGGGAGATTCGGATGAGACTGGCTGGTCTCACAGGGGTCCTCCCCAGCCTGGACTGAAATGCTCCCTTTCCCATCCTGCAACTGTCCACAGGGGTCTGCAGCTACTGAGTCTTGTTCTTCATGTTCTATGTGACTGTTGTGAAGAGACAAATAACCACTGTCCTCTTGGACATTGATAGACTCGTTGTCAAATAGTCCACCATCATGAAGTCCAGAGGATAGACTGTCCTGGTTCTCTTTGTTACTGGAGGGTTTGACATCATCATTGAGGTTGAAATTGATGGCCTTCACACATGGCGAACACTGAGGCTTTAGGGAACCACTCTCCACATTTTTCCAAGGAGAGGTCTTCTCCTTTGACAGACCGCCATTATCAGCACCACATTTCATGTTGCTGGTACAGAAACCACCTCCTTAGTCAGGATACTTCATAAAACACACATAAACCTGGGGGGGGGGGGGGGGCAGAAAGTTAGCCGGAGAAAGGGCAGAGGCGCATGGGCCTTCGCAAGTCTTACAAGAATGACCGGATTTTCGGCTCCTGCACCACGCCAAATCCTCCGTGGCTCAATGTATATTGCTAACCAATTTAAGAAAATATTAAATTTTACTAAAATAGTTAATACAATAAATATTTAATAAGTATTAAGTTTAGAAGGCGGGCAGACTGGTGATGAATTATGCCACTTTACGTCGAAGACAAAAAAAAATACCAAAAACTATTAATTTGTTAATCATTAACTATCACCATTAACAATAACATATTCACATTTACAGACGATAAAAATGGATCTCATCGATGCTTTCCATTTCGACCCCCCTCCAAAAAATGTTTACCGGACCTCGATCAAGTCAGACATTTTCCCCGGACCGATAGTTTTCATAGATGCAAAAATAGAATCCTCTTGCTTGCTGACTAAACAGACCCTGCCAGCTATGAAACTCATTTCAAGCTTGTGGAAAAGTTAAATTTGTCTGGCTTTGCCCATGATACTGATGGGTTGTCACACTTCGCGCGCGTATTTAGCTGGCCTGCTAACCAACTAGCGGCTCAAATGCCTCCCCCACCACACCACACCCAGGATGGCGCTACTTCTGCAAGCCAAAACTCACCTTTTGCTTTTCTAATACACCACTAACTACATACAACACTACCCCATAGTCGCTAATTATTTAAAGAGTTCACCCGCTAACGTGATAACCAAATCAAACTAGAGATATATTTCAAACAACTAAGGCACTATTTCCGAATATAGCCACCATGCGTTTAAATTACGAGTAAATATAAAAATCATACACGGAAGTAACTCTTACCTTGCTCGGCTTTTATTTCAGAAAGAAGTTTTTCCTTCTGTGATAACTAACTAGTATCTACGCCGTAATCGACCATTTAAAAGACTAACCGGAAAAAACCGCCACTTCACTTTAGAGACACAAGCGCTTTGAATTTCGCGTACAAAACACGCCAGCCAATCAGGCTATAACAAAAGTTAAAAAAATGTAACCAATCAGAGTACACCTCGACGTCAGCGTGAGCCAATCGCCTTCAATTCAAACTTTAGGTCCTCTACGAAGGCTTTAGTTTGCAAATCGTGCACATTCTGAACGATTATATTATTTCAATAAAAATCCGGACGAAGCTAGTATACGATCGTACAAAATGCATGTAAAATAATACACGTGTTACGTTTATATGTGTTAAGTGGACTGTTGCGCCAGAGCATAAGGAATCCTGGGAAAAAGCGTTTGCATGTGAACGGAATTTACCTCTGGGGGTGGGAGGGAAGTGTAAAGTGTTAAATGGCTGATGGCGCCACTGCATTTCGTATAGATAGATAGAGATACTTTATTTATCCAGAAGGAAAATTAGGTGTCCAGTAGCTTATACTCAGTATACATACACATAGGCACACAGACCTATAACATTTACGCACACATACATTCTGCAAAAAATACAATGGAAAGTAACAAGTGTGTGCCTTTGCAGTAAGGAAAAATAACAATTGTGTGCAATTACAGTATAGAGGGTATAGCGTGCTGTACAGGCCTAAACACTTAAGTCCATCACACTCCTCCCCTTACATGTGACGCTGAAAATGCAGCACAAGGAATCCGAGTAAGCACGCAAACCCTCAGCCTTAAATTAAAAAGTTTTCCAAATAACGCTACCAAGGCAAACATTTTCATTTGTTTTTAATATGCAGCCAAAACATTATTCATCTGCTCCATCTTCACCCAAAATGTCCATGAGAACCTCTTGGTCAGAAAACTGCTTCAATGATCTGCTCATGTCCTCCAAGAGATCTTCGCCTAGCATGAAGCCTCTCACGTCATGCTGGGTTTTCCCAATCCGATGGTCAGTAATGCGATCCTGAACAAAGTTGTAAGTCCTGATCTTCTCTGACCTACCTTTAGTACCAATCTAAGGCAAATAAAACGAGTAAAATTACTGAACATCCTGCTAAACTTTGTAAGACAATCTTTTCTTACTACTGTCAGATCATCATACATTAATGTTCTCAGAAAAAAATTATGAATTTAATCATTTAAATGCAAAGCAGAAGTGTTGCACCTGAATTTTACGTGCTTGATGTCGTTTGCTGGACTCCTCTTCCAGGCGCAGGCCGTACAATTTCGCACGTAGCATTTTCATGGCCTTTTCTTTGTTTTTCAGCTGCGACCTCTCCTGCTGACATTCAGCCACAACACCTGGCAAAAAGTCTCAAGTCATCTGATCAGCTGATGTGGTTGTCGCAGTGATCCAGTGTCATCTAGTGATGCATGATCGTTAACACCCATCAACTGGCTTTATATCTGCAGTCCCTTTTAGAGACATTTAACATGAAGATGGACTTTATTGTGTAGTGCTGTCAGCGAAAGTGCACAGACGAACACGTATATAGTGCTTAATAGACAAAGTGTAATGTAATCAACATACAGTCAACTGCATTGTTTACAGGGATTTACCTGTGGGAATATGGACGATTCGCACGGCGCTGTCAGTGGTGTTGACATGCTGCCCACCCGCTCCACTTGCACGCTTGGTTTCAATTTTCAAATCCTTTGCATTAATAGTTAATGTGATCTGGGGGGGGGGGGGGAGAGTTTATCACAACCCAGCCTGTCATGCTGTCATGGCAAGTTCTGTCGCACCCTTAAGTGAAAGTAAATAACCTGAAGACAAGCAGATGTGAAATCACACTGCTCTGAGAAAAACACTGTCTAAGCAAAACAATAGCCTGTTCATCTTGTATAGCCATTTAATTGTTGCGGGGTCACAGTGTAAAACTAGATTGTAGAGCTTGATGTTGATTGACGCAGGCCAGCCTGCTGTGCATCATCTCCGGTACCGTTACTGCGTAACCAGGGCGGTACCTCTGTGGGCTGCGGCAGCACGGCCACAGTCATGGTGCTGGTGTGGATGCGGCCCTGCTTCTCGGTTTTGGGGACCCTCTGTACCCGATGCACCCCGGCCTCGAACTTCATCGTCTTATAACTCTGTGGTCCGCTGACAGCCGCAGAGCCGTGGCGAAGCCCGCCTGAAAGACACACATTTTAATCTCCATTTACATGGACACCCATGTTGCTGACTGGACCACAAATCCATTCCTGAAGCTGATGTCCCAGTACTGACCGGTGTCACTTGGGTTGTACTCCAGTGTTTCAAAGTCCCAGCCCTGATAATTGGCGAATCTCCGGTACATGTCGAACATCTCGGCGGTGAAAAGCATCGCCTCCTGCCCGCCTACCCCAGCTGTGACTTCCAGCACTAGATCACTGTCGTCGGCCTTCTCAGCAGGGATCAAGAGCGACAGGATCTGCATTTCCACAAGGTGAAGGCACATTCTCTGTTGCTGTTTTCCTAGCCTCTAGTTTCTTACTTTGAAATCCAATTAAGCGAATGATCTGCTGTGTCACTGAAGCAAACCAGACAATGTTCTACATACATGACATTGGAAGACACAACAGACGAACAAATGGAGGATACTTAAAATAATCTAGTTGATCACCGTTTTTCTCAAATCTTGCACAGAATCTTGGCATGCTATCTTCTCATTTTCCGCTAGTTTTCTTATGTCTAGATCATCATCTGGAAAATAAAAAAGAAATACCGGTTTTTGTGCTATAATAAAATATAATTCTGTATATTAATATATAGAATAATATATTTACATAACACGAAGGTATAGAATGTTTAAATACCGGAACATACGGCAATATATGTAGTAGAAAGGTTGAACTGTGACAAATTATCAGTTGAATCTCTGCAATTGACCAAGAGCAGTTAAACAGGCTATCTTTCGCTTTGGAGAAACATGACAGCAATTAGCACAAACCGTCCCATAATCTCCAATTCAACTGAACTGCAAATGCTATTGAGAAATCGATCTTCGAATGAATATATAAAAAACTCTTAGCAGATAACCTTTCAGTAAAGCTTGGATTTCTTCATACTCTTTCTGTTTCTGTGCCAGTTTCTTCACACAGTCGATCAATGGTGTTAGATGCGTTATTCTGTTTCTTTTCCATTTCAGATCTTCACTATTCAAGTCGACACTTCGCAAACAGTCCACATATTCACTCTCCAGTTTTCTTAAATAGTCCTGTAACGACTTCCTTTTAAAAATTTCGTTGGCAGATAGCACACTTGCTGCGGGATTTACTTTTGTGGTGTGCAGAAATCGTCTGCATCTTAAATCTCCATAGTAAATGCGGGTATATCGTGTTTCGCCAAAAACAGTAAAGGTACGTATGGCTGAAAGACTTCGCAAGATCTGTGTATTGAAAGGTCGCATTTTTGCCTTGCTCTAGAAAGTCCTTACACATAAGGACAAGTTTGGCTACGGCGTTTTAGAACATCACGGGATTACAAAGGAAACCCCTTGTAACAAAACACAATCCGACCTAAAAACTGCAGCGGTAGATATCACACGAAATTAGACATACAGGAAAAACGTTTTCGAGTGATAACCGAATAATTCAGTGTCTTATTCTGTCACTACATGAAATTATATGCACGTGAATTACACCGTTATTCCACGCAAGGGCGCTGACATCTTGCTTAGTCGCGCAAGCGCAATTGTTCTATAAATTACCGTATACCTAAAACTAAAAGTGCACACGATATTCAGGCACTATTAAATGCCTATTAGTTAATGAATAGATATCGAAGCATACTTCTGGATGAAATATCTGGTATATCGGAGTACCCAAAATTATAGGAGACGCCTAATCCCACTTCTGACAAACTTTTTAGGGTAGCACGTAACTAAATGGGCTAAGCCTGTGTGCCTGTGTTCGAGCCCGGCCTCAGCACGTCTGTGGGTCCTTGAGCAAGGCCCTTAACCCCCAGATCACTGGGCGCCGCTACGGGTGACTGCCCTTCGCGGACAACTTACTCAACAAAGAGCAAGTTGGGGGAGGTGTAAAGAGAATTTCCCCAGAGGTATCAATTATTATTAATAATAAATACTTTCTGTGCATCCGATTTAATTATTACTAGTCTCTCCCGCACCAATGAAAGGGTGTAGATTTAATTTTCTCTAAGACATGGGAGCGCCCTCTATCATCAATGATTGCAACAAAGGTAAAATTTACATTAATTCTCCTAGTTCAGATCCTAACCTATTTTCGCACAGTTTCAAAACTTCTTTTCGTTTTTTTTATTTACCTGTTTCATGTCTATTATACTGTCATTTCATAATCGCATTGTTTTATTTTTGTGCGTGACATCCTTTGACATTTTGACAGAACCTGCTCTTATGAAATAGTAAATATTAACCACGCTGAGTTCGACCAGCAGGTGGCGCCCATTTAGCGATCGCGACAAAAATCTCCCCCACTCAGCTTATTTATTACCGTAATGCACGTAGCGTTTAGTTCCATTGAACACTGAAATATTACTGATAAATGAAAGTTTTGTCGTTCTTTACATAAATATTCAGAATGTGAAAGTCATGTATTCCATCAGGCATCAACTGATGTGCCTCAATGCTCAGTTTTTTGCCCGCCCGCCCCATTTCTCTTTTCTCCTTCTCTGTAGGTCCATGCACTGCACAGGTGGATTCCAACTTTTCTTGACCTTTCCTTCAACAGAAATCACATTCTCAAATGTCTGCTTTTCTCAATGATGAGGGATCTCTCTCAGGTCAGACCTTTCGAAGACCAAGCTTCTTGCCTTCCCTGCCTCTCTTCAACCAGGACCATCAGTGTGGTCTCTGTTACGGCTTGCTAGGAACTTAGGGGTAATGAGAGATGGCCAAGTTATTCTTTGGTGACCTTGTTGCAGTCATGTTCCGATCTTGCAGATTAACTCTGCATAACATCAGTAGAATACACAGATGAACTTATTGTCCAGAATCTTCTCAGCGGTTCTGTCCTCCTTGATCAGTCTATGAAATGGTTTCTCTTGGCACTAGTGCATCATGCTCTGCTGTATTTTACACTTACACTTAATTTTCTGATATTAGGTGTTCTGTATACCTCTTGTTCCAATAATTATCGTGCATTTGTTGCTGGTCACTCACTGGAAACGCAGCCTAGCACAGTAGTTCTCAATCCTGTTCCTAGTCCCCCCCCCACGCCAGACTGTTTTCATTCCAACCCACACTGCTTTCAACCTGCCACATTCATTATTCGCCTTTTAAGGACCATCTGACCCTGACTAAGGTTGGGTTGGAATGAAAGCATTCTGGCAGGAGGGCCTCCAGGGGCAGGACTGAGAGCCACTGGCAGCACTTGTACGTAAGCTGTATGCTTGTGATGTATCTACTGCTTCACTTGTATGTTGCTTTGGACAAAAGGGTCTGCTGGATAAAAACAAACGTAGGCCCAGAGAAATCAGAGAAAGGGGAAGGGACCATACTAAGCCTTAGAGCATTTGTACATTTGCCTTGAGAAGAACACGCTATGTTCATAGAAGGAGAAGAACACACTTATGCTGTTTATGGCTTTACACAACCTTAATATTTTTAAACTTCATCTGAGGTTTTCAAATTCTACTTCAGATAGCGTGGTCAAGTTGAGGAGAGCATGTATAGTCACATCTATAACAAACAAGCTAATGCTATGCTGGTGTATCATCCAGTCACTGTGGGGTTATGGTTATGCTCTGATGGATGACTGCAACCCAAAACATCATAAAAGGTAAGCAAACTTTTACAAGAAGTGAGATCATTTTTTATTTCCTTTTGACATGAAACTAGTGACAACAGAAAAAAACTGAATTAGACCCATAAAACACTGCTTTGATGCCTAATTCAAGCTGAATATCTTCCGATATGGGAGATATGGCAAGTAAATTGCATGTCAACATGTAGCTGTAATTTTTGTGATTTTAACTTTTCTATAATTGAGTTTCTAATACCAAAAAGAGCCCTGATAGTGTGTACAAACTATTGTTCATTTTCCCTTATATTACGTGCCAATGATGTTAAAGATCTTACAATCAAGATTTGGGCTGTGAATCGAAAAAGAATCGCCGGACATACAGGCTGGATTCAGGAAAGGCTGGGGAACAAGAGACATCACTGGCTAATGCACAATGGATAATTGGAAAAAACAGTAAATACTAGGAGCATAGTTTTTGATTGTCTTGACCATGTCAAACTATGATATACTTACTTAGGAAAATACATTGCATATCAAAATTCTTGCAAAATGTGAATTTTGTCATGGAACGCTAATTTAATTGGTCAAGCCATTGTTTGCTCTGCAGGCGCCAATGGGTCATTAATTAAGGCAACTGAAAGGGAGGCTTAGCCTGTACCTGCATACATTACATTTAGAAGTTTTGGTTTCTACTGATGATTGTTTGCAGAGACTACAGCTCCTTTTTTCTAACGCTCTAATCAGTGCCTAATGATTGTTCAAAGCTTCAGCCTAGTCATAGTGTGCAAGACAGGAGTCGAGAGTGTAATGCAGAGGATGCACTGTCTGGCTGCTGGGGAAGAAGCCCAGGTTCTCATTGGGGCAGGGCTGTTGTAACCTCTGTGTATCCTGTCAGATCCAGTGCTACTCCAGCCCCTGCCTTTGAAATCCCTGCCCAGATTGTGATTGGTTGTCAGGTTGTCAACCAAAGTACCAGGATGTGACACAAACAAACGAAGACCCCAAGAGGAAAGGAAGCACTCTTCTGTTTGTCTCACTCTATGCTTGTGACTGTTTGTTTTTTGTTTGTGAAAAATTGGTTTTCCATGTAAGATCCCTTTTTCTTGACAACTGACTCTCGTTTTTATCTGGTTTCTTTAGTTCGGTCTCCTATTGTAGATGTACACTATTGTCTGCTGTTTTTGTCTTCTTATCGTAAATCATCAGATAGGAAGAAAGAGAGGTGTGTACTAGTGTTGGGGCTCAGTGACTGTGGGGTTCATGTATCATTTTGGCCTGGTTTAATCCTGAAACAAGCCCTTCAGAATGACCAGGCACGCTGCCCAGCTTATGTAAAACAGATTAGTCTTTGGTGCACTTGGGCATTACGTAGCCATGGGTGTTAGGGGGATTTGCTTTGAATGACTCTGGCACATAACCATGGCGATTCACTTTTTTTTTTGGGGGGGGGGGGATCTCAAGGCTCAAAATACTGCAAATGAAGGGGATTCATCACAGCACATCCATATTCCAGTGTGCCTGGGCTTTTCTAACTTTTTCAGCTGTTTAGCTTAAGCCAGATGGTATCATGTACATTTGAAACTCATACGAAGATTTATCAGGTACCTGAAAAAGCATATAACTGGTAATATTCTATTATGAGTCTCTGGGGTGAGGGGTACGTAGTGTATGCATTTGAAAACATTTTGCAAGAAAGGATGACAGCCTAACTTCTTACAATCACTGTTGCGTAAAAAAGACAAAGTCAAGTCAAGTGGACGTAGTTGTCATAGCATCCATATACAGGCACACAGTGACACAAAATAACGTTTCCCCAGGACCATGATGCAATGCAGACAGTGAGTGACAGGGAGGCTTTTCACATGACTTACACTGCAAAACACAGTGCAGAGCGAAACAGTGCAAAACACAGGACACACTGGAATGTGTATGTATAAATACAGCAGCATAAAAGGGTGGCATACAGTGCGGCACTGAATGAGTAATAAAGTAAGTGACCAGTGCCAGTCAGGTGGGGATGGGGGTGCCAGTCAGGTGGGGGCGGGCGACTATTCCAAGGAAAATTCAAATCTCTGTAGGATGGGGCATGAATGAGGGGCATTACTCTCTGAGAGGTGTTTTTGTGCTTATACCGAGTATCTACCAAGTATTCCGGAAAAATCTCCACTGGGATTGTAGGGCAGCCAAGCTTTCCCTGCAGTAGCACATTCCCCCTGGAAAGCCATGGGTTTAAACGTTTGCATTGGTAGTTGCAGAATGTTAGTTTACATACATTATTACATTGGTTAGCATTAAAGTAAATGATTGTGCCCTTGAAGCAGAGTATTCCCTGGAACTGGCAGCGGTCTGTCAAACGGGTCACATTCACACACACAGAAGGGCAGCCTGGTCCCTCTCAGCAATTCCTGGAAAGTGGGAGGTAACCTGAGTATCCAAAACACACTCAGAAAAACACAAAGAGGCGAATTGCATGTTGTGGGGCGATTCCCTCTCCGCCGTCACAAAACGCCTCAAGATCCATCTGTTCCAGGAAGACCTTAAAGTTGTACTTTCTGCTGACTGAGTAGTAGGTCCTATTAGCGTCATGCTTTGGAAGTTGTTGGTGGACTCGTCCTTTACTGGAAGCTCAGCCAAGCTGCTCATCTCCGGTTGACGTCTTGACAGCATGTATGTCTGTAATGTGCTTTTTTGCCTCACGTGTATGTTGCTTTTTGTATAAAAACTTCTGCCAAATAAAATTCATGTAAATGCATTGAACCCCACACCTCTACAAGGTGACAGCCTGAACCACCATCTAGAAGGATCGGTTTGTCATTAATACACTTATCTCAATTTTCTTTCCATTTGTTCCAGGGAACAATATTTTCCCTGATAGCTATGACTATGACACAATGTTGTGACTACTGGAATGCTGGAGAACAAGAAACAGACCGGCTGAGTGTCCTTGACTGAATGAGCGTCGAAGGAGGTTCACTTTGATATCATGCTGTGCAAGAGTGGGAAATTTTAGG